ATATTAACTCTAAAACAAACTCTGTTTGCTCTTAAGCTAACTACTAAGTTAAAACCTAATTTCAGTCTGCAGTGTGCAGTGTAGGCTGCAGGCTGACATAGGTCTTTAGCTTAATGACCAGCTTAGCAGTTAGGATTTCGGGTTAGAACTAATCTTCAGAGTTACAGTTACTTTTTAGTAAGTATTTCGTCTAGGTTAGGGTCAGTCTGCTGTCCGCAGTCTGTATTCTGCAATGTACACTGACCGATATGGAAACTGCACCTTAAAACAATACACATACCACATCTGTTCATTTTCTGCTAAGCAATTTTTATTTAACCCCCAAATACAAACAATGATTAGGCTAACGACGCTTCTCAGCTTATAGTATTTTCGCAGGGGATCCGAACACTGTGTCAGCAATAACATAATCATTAATATATGCACCGTTTTTTACCTGTGTTCCTTTGTCTTTTGGATTCGTTTAGAGGGGATTTGAATGAAGTGAAGGTAGTTTACATTTCTAACATTATCTTATCTGCCGCTTTGTAATTATGACGCTCAGATGACTTCTCGAGTTTTCATTATCGTCATTAACTATTAACTCTCATCGTGGGAGAGACTCTCAGGTTTCATAACGGCCATAATGGAAACTCGAGTTCAGAGCATCACATTTACAAAGCGGAAAACAAGATATTGTTTGAAATGTAAACTGCCTTCTGTTCATTCAAATCCCTTCTAAACGACTCAAACAGACAAAGGAACACAGGTAAATAACGGTGAATTATTAATGATTATGTTATTGCTGATACAGTGTCCGGGTCCCCTGTGGTATTTTGCAGTTTGTCAGCCGACCCCACCCAACACACTCAGTGGCTAGCTATAAAAAAGTTAAAACTCCCAGTATTCAAAATTGACAAGAAAGAACTTGTTCTTGGCATTGCTTCATTGCTTTGCGTCTGTAGCCTGTAGGACGCCTCTCTCAGCCGTACATGGAGCAGGTGCCAAACTTTAGTATGAGGACTCCATGGGTTCCAGAGCCGCAACATTTCTGATCAGCAATAACCAAAAAGACAATTTTAAAACAATACTTTGTGTAAAAAAGAAGGTGCAATGATCTTAAATCGAGGTTATAAAAGTTGTATTCAACACGTTACCATTTTCGTTGAATATAAGGCTGAATAATGTTTAAACACGTTATATAATATTTTGAATTACTCTCGCACGTTGATTGGCTCTTAATTATTATATAAAACAAGTAGATTCTATGCTGCCGTGCGTCTGTTCAGAAATAGATCACAGAAGACGTCATAATGTGGTAAAAACATTAGTGACACATTCACCTACGGCTCGTGCGCCACTTTTAATTTAAACCAATAAGAATGGGGAGAAAATTTAGTGGTGAACTATAATCGCTGTGGACAACGATCGCGGAGATTGGAGAAAACATGAAGAAACTGACCTTCAGTGATAAATTGCTTTTCTTCGAAAATATTACCTTCTGGGTTGGGTTGTATGCGTATGTTCCACAGCACTGAACATTCGACGTTCTAGGCGAGAGATATCCTTGACAGCATATCTATAAAACAGTGTTGTTTGCAAGAGACATGCAAGAATTTCAATCAGAAAATAATTGGCAAGATATTGAGCTTACCTATATATATATATATATATATATACCTCTTATTTGCTGGCCGGGAGGTCTGTATTGGGACCGAGGTCTATTTCAGAAACTTTTTGATCCTTTGCTGACTTGGCAGAAAGGTGTATTAATGGGTCATCGGCATATAAGCTAGTCTTGCAATACTTGAGCCAACGTGGTAGGTCATTAACGTATATCAGAAACAACAGAGCCCTAGTATGCTGCCTTGGGGCACTCCAACTGTGATAGGCCTGGGACAGGATCGAAGTTCCTTGCTTGCGGTCTGTCTATGTCTATGTCCATGTCCATGTCCATGTCTGTCTATGTCTATGTCTATTTCTATGTCTATGTCTATGTCTATGTCTATGTCTATGTCTATGTCTATGTCTATGTCTATGTCTATGTCTATGTCTATGTCTATGTCTATGTCTATGTCTATGTCTATGTCTATGTCTGGAGAAAACATGAAGAAACTGACCTTCAATCACAAGTCGCTTTTCTTCGAAAACATTACCTTATAGGCTGGGTGGTATGCCTGTGATCCGCAGCACTTTGCATACCCATATGGTTTAGTCGAGAGACGTCCTAGGCAGCATAGCTGTAAGAGAGCGATGTTTAGAGAAATGCAACAGACATACATTCCCTTCAAGAGAAAAACTATCACGTGAAAATAAAGTTATAAGCATAGTTAATTGTATGCCTGCGATAAAAAGTGTAGATTTTACAAGCGCAGAAAGCTGAGCTTTTTTGAGGAAGAGGAGGAAACTTACTGCCAGATGGTCTCAGAAGTACCCTTAATGTAAGGTATATCACTGTAGTGGACAGGTGTTGGGTTCCTGTTCGTTGCGTCGGCTTCGGTAGGTTGGTAAATGTTTCCTCTAAAAAAGTCAGCGTTGTATTCGTTTTTGTAAAAAACACGTTCAAGGTATCTGTTTTCGTCACGTAAGCTGTCCGGTGTGTCACAAACTAGTTGCGCTCGTCTCGTCAAAGTCTTTACAGTCGTGGCTCTCTGCGAAGTCGGGTTGTAGGATGATTCGTCAAGTAATGCGTCGGTTTTCTGTACACTGTCGTTCGCAGTGAAATCCGTCGCATACCGACAGATTACTTGGAACCTCCGAGACCATCTCACGGATCCTACAGCCCTACAACATCGCTGTAGCCTACAAACCTACAATTACGTTACGACACTTACTGACCAACTTTAAAGACAGGGACGAACCCAACAACAGACAGGAAGCAGTTTACAAGATCAAATGCTCCGACTGCGAGGCTTCTTACATTGGTGAGACTGGCAGAAGCCTTAACACGAGACTGATTGAACACAAACGAGCCACGAGAAATGGTGATGCCAACAATCACATTGCTGTACATCATCAACTGACA